TGTGTGAGAGTGTGGCTTCAGGGTTTCATCAGTGGCCTGGGCTGCAAGAGGGTTTCTGAGAGGGTTGTATGTGACTCATTCACCCTACTTTGGAGACACTAAATCTATCTCTGCTCAAAGACTTTCAACCTCAAGTGTTTCCGATGACCAGTGTCTTTACTGTTCTTTTATCAAAAGGTGTCTACAAAGGTTTAAAAAACAAGGCTAACAATTAAATTGTATTAGTATAATTTTAGACTTATATTTAATTTACAATTAAAGCTGTTAACTATCAATGCAGATGGTTGTTGCTTTAAATCACAAACACTGTGACATACAGGTGCCGCATATTAAGATCATATGGTGGCTCCAGTAACAAGCTTTACAGTGAAAAGTAAATGAAACATAGATACCAGAGTCAGCCTGACCATGTCTTTTACAGTACCTGGAGAGAGTCTTGGACCTGGTCAGAGCCTTGGTGATGACCAGAGATGGGGCGGACTGACGCCGGTAACTCTGAGACTTTGTGCGCTAAAAAAGCAAAAGAGAAAGATGGCTGATGAAGGGGGAGGGAAACATTTCTAATATTAAAATTGCATTATTAATGCAAAGCTACAAAGCTCGATACGCAATATTTTTTCACATTTTTACTGTGACATTCATACCACATGGCATCCATCAAAGAAACTATTTTGCAATTAAAAATTACGACTGTGTATGGTATATGGAGCTTTGTTGTTTCTGATTGGCTGGTAAGAGAATAACACCTCACAAGAAATGAGAATGGTAAAAAGAAAATAGCAATGGTGGAAAAAGTATCGTAAGAACAATTGCGAAGTTGTCTGACACAAAAAAGAGACATGCTTGTCAGCCTCGATAATCTACCTAAATAATGTCATTTAAAGTTTTGGTTTAGTACTGCAACTCACACAATATCTGACCACACTGCTTAGTGAGTGCTTACTGAGAGTTGGACTCGATCCTTATGTGATGTTTACACTCTCCTCATTTGTTATGCAAGTGTCCTAATGTTCAACACATTCATCACAGCATCAGGGCTGACTATGGCCTCCAAAAGGACAGGGACAGCAGAACTGAGCTTAAAACACAAAGGAATGCCAGAGCATTTCACAGCAGCCTCTGTTTGTTTTTGCCATGACAGTTCTGACCTTTCTCACATGTTAGTAAAAATCCAGTGTGTGTAAAAACAACATTTTTCATGCTACCTTCCTACTTTCACTTGCTTGGGACCATGTTGATATCCTGTTTTTCTTTACAGGATCTGATTACCCAGGTTTCCCACATAAGGATAATTAAAGTTTCATTGAATCTAATTGTAGAAGGATTTGTCAGCATGAAACAGGGCTGCAAACAAACATTACATAACTACAGTTCTTTCACTGGATGTCAGAATACCACACTGACTAACACAATCAGCTAATACATTGATCAGTGGTTTTTGGACAGGTTAAGTGGGTTAAGGTAGTCTTTTGTTTTGTGTAGTTATTACATGTAAGTCATAGATATGTGAAAAGTGTGAAAACACATTTTAAAGATAACAAGCTCTTAATCGTGCTAGCAGCTCCATCATTCTGTGATTTCATAAGTCTACTGCTAATGTCAGCAGGCTAAAAGAGGTTACAGTGGTTCCACTGACCATAATTGGCTTGTCATTAGTGGTATTTATCATGTTTCATATAAACAGTTTCACATATAAATGTGTCTCAGGAACGAATGTGAGCAGCATATTTAGCTAAAAGTGCAGTCAGGTTGCATTTTGGTGACTGTGAAAATTTTTAAAGAATGGTGCAACTGTGTTAACTGCAATAACTTTTGGGGATAACGCCGCTAAATTAGCCTAATATCAATGATATTGGCTTTTTGAGCCATTGGCTTATTTCAAATAAGAAGACATCTATCAGTAGCAGTGGCAAGTTCTTCTGTTGTGATGCATTAATGTGTTTCTGGATGTTTGAAGAAAGTGTAATTATTAGTTTAGCAGTTAATTTATAATGGTTTGTTTCCCTGACAATCAAGCAGATTAGCTTACTAGCTATAGTGCCAGCTTGGTCATGTGACCTTTCCTGGCAGGGTTGTAGCAATCCCTTGCGAAGCTTGACAGGATTCATCCTCTGGGGACCACGAAGGCCTGTGTCATTTCGTGTTAATTCGTGATGTCACTCTGTCCAAACACTAACCTTAGAATTCTAAATGTGGGAAAACCTCAGTCCGTCTTCATCCTACATCCACCATGCACGTCCACACATTTTTCACAATGTAATAACATTGATTTAGCTAGGTCACAGGCTGCTGAAACATTCCTTGTACTCCAGTTACAATATTACAATGTTACCTTTCAGTCCTAAAAATACACCAATGTTAGCTTCAGTGAAAAAGTGGGTTTACTGTGGGAAACAGCGACTATAAAAAACCCCAATTTGTCTAACATAAACATAACCTAAAAATAGTTTAAAAAATAACTGTAGTGATGATGAACTCACTAATGTAACAGGACAATTGCTCATGCAGCTTTCTGCCCTTTCCACCAGGGTTTATAGTATTTACACAAACCGTTTTCCTTACACTGACACCGTGTTTCTGCATTTTTGACTCAGCACATTCATCAAGCAAAGCTGATGTGTAACAGTTATCACTAAACCAAGGACAGAGCGCTGGCTGTGCAGTGAAGGAAGAATTTGTACTGCAACTTTTACAGTAACTGCAGAGAAGAATCACTGGGAAAAAATACTTTCAATGAATGGAACAATATGTATACCTATAATAATTAAAAGCTATTTTTATTACTGATCTAATTAATTGATAGGTTATTTTTAGTGGTGGCAGTAATACTGCGTGGTCCATTGAACACAACAGTCTGATATTTGATGGGTAACAGTTTAATTATTTCCACTTTTCTGTCTCCTCCTCACTTCAGTAAAGGATTAAAAAAGCTTTAAATAAATGAAGTGATGTTTCATGTATTACAGGGCAGCCTGTACAGGACAGTGTGCCTAAGGAAATAGCTCTGAAAAAAGCAGAACACTATATTTGGTGTGTGTATAATATTATCATTATTAACTTTTAAAAACGTCTTAATCTGTGATATGAATTCTCTCGCCATCTGCCTTTTGTCTTATTTTCTGCAAGTAAACCTCCACTCATTTATCGGATAATTACCACCACAAAGAGTCACAAAGTAGTGACACTTCTGAGTCTAATTGTCAGCGGGATAGTTTTAGACCATCATGAAATACAAACAAACACAAAAACAATTGATTTGCGACACTGGCATAACAAACACAGTCAAATTCTGTCTGCACCACATAAAGCTACAATTCTTCACAGTTTCTATCTTTACAAACTGAAACAAACAAACATTTGATGCTTTTTACTCCGAAATAAACTTGAATGACTACCTGATGATAAGAATAGATTAGCTGTGGACTGACAGCTACTGTTTCCAATACAGAAGACACTGCAGTTATCATAGAAATGGTTTCGGTACACAGAGAATAGTTAATACCAGTAAAACTGAAACGCATGCTTTGACTAAACAGCCTGGGGATGATAATCGATAACAAGAAAACCCTTTAAATCTGATTAGCATTTGAACACATGTATGAAGTAGTTAGCCTGCAGAAAGAGTAAATGTGAAGTGTATACAAGACACACCACATTTGAACACCTCTTTAACTCACACGTACCGTTTAAATGCCACAATTATCTAAACAAATACAGGAATTTATGACATTTTAAGTGTTTATTTTGCCGACAAGGCCATGACTAAAATTTACGTCTATAAATCTATTCATTCTATAAGTTCATGTATTAATGTCTGCATTAAGAAGTTTTTATTTCTTAATAAGTAAAATAAATTGATTAAAATAACTTAAAAAGTTATTTTACTCTTCTTATGACCCATGAGTTAAAAAGAAAATGAAAATCAGAAAAGGGGCAGAATATCTTGAGATGATGTAATAATGACATCACAAGCTACCAACGTTAATAATCAGTAGGTTATTAAAACAGTCTGATGACACATTTTGTTTAGATCAGTGTTTTATTGGAGCTTGAAGACACTCGTTAGTTTACAACCTTGATTTATTTTTTAATCTTATAAGTTGACCTCCTGTAGAACTGCAAAACTATCACTGACAAAATTTCCCAAAAGCTGCTTCGGCTGTTTGAACACCTGTCACACTGATCTAACCTCCCAGCCGACACACTCATTCATAAAGTGAATAGGCTGTCCCTTTTCACGCGATGTAATTACAGAAATGAATTAGAAGGAAGTCTGTCTTTACTTTCAAAAGAGCGGGACTGTCTGCTAAGGTGAGTGAAAACAGAGACTCTTACGCGCAAACGTACCCGTTTGTGTTCCTGCTGCGCGCCGCCTCGGCTGAGGCTGTCCTGTTGCTGCTGTGGAGACATGTTGTCCATCCAGCCTCCAGACGCCCTCCGGCTCACTGTCCAGCTGTCCTCGGGTGATGCAGGAGTGAAAGAAATCCCATTAATAAACTCCGACTCCCGGAGATACGAACCATTTCACCACAAGCTAAAAACTTGTTTGCGATTAGATCGCGTGAAGGAAAAACTACACGAAGGAAATTTAATATTAAAAAAAGAAATAAAGAAGGAAAAAACGTCGGGAGGAAAACAAGCTCAGGTTTCGTCTATCTCTTTGCCATCAACGAATAGCCGTGCTCATGCGTCTCCTGTCTAGATTATCAGTTGCTTTGCCACTTCTTAAGGCGTCTTTACGCATAGAACGGAGGCGGCGCCATAACGCTGCAAAAAATAGGTCCACCTATTTTTAACCAAACTGTTCCATTCACTCAGCGAACAATCAGATTTACCCGAAAACAAACAATGCTAAAGGTAAGATAAGCTGTTTGCTTAGGGGATCAGCTTTTATCGAGAATTCTACAGGGATTCAGCAAGTGGGCCAATGAAGTTTCATTACTCAAGCAAACAACATTAGAAAAAAGTCCCGTTATTTTAACTACTGTCAGCTCGTTACTGTGTGCTGAATGAGATCTCTGTAAATGAGTTTATGTGTTAGATTGGTCTCTTGTTAAATCAAGTGACACAATTACCTCATTATCTAATCTGAAGTTAAATCAGAGTGTAACAGTCTGAAGACCTAACGTGCATCTTTTCAAAAGCATCCAAAACCCAGTCAGTGACACCTTTGTAAGGCCAAAATGTTAAACTTTTACGCATATCCCAATCTTGAGATGCCATTTTTATAATGCTAGTTGTTAAAAACATTGGTTATCAGTCATCACCTCATGTTATGAATATGAGATAAGTTTCTTTTGTTGCAATGTCCCGAGAACTAAACTGATATAAAAACATGAAAACAGGAGGCTACTCGACAGGCACATTTGGGAGCTTTTCCATGTTGACTAGGTATGTTGGTATGAATTATCCCACTTTTTGTCAGTCATATGGAAAAGAAAGTTTTCACAGAACCCTTTAATGACTTAAAATAATAATTTTCAGTATGACTTTATCAGTCTCTCACTTCATTATCGGGTCACATCAAAGGTCACATGACTATAGCTAGTTAGCTAATTTTGGTCCACTGTTGTGTACAACATTGCTTCAGTTCACTGAGGTTTGTGGACATTTGTTTATACATAATTCTCTTAAGGTCTTGCTGCAGGATTTCAATCCGATTGTTCAGTCTGACGTCACTAGCCGTGTCTGATAAGATAAGATAAGATAAGATAAGATAAGATAAGATAAGATAAGATAAGATAAGATAAGATAA